TCGCACGTTTGGCTTCGAAGGTGCGATGCCCGTTAGAGAACACGCCCAGGAGGATTGCCAGGGACAAGAGACCGACGGCCGAGAGACCGAGGCGGGGGGAGGCCGAGGAGGGGAGAAAGGGGGGAGCAAACATCGAGCGACAAGGCGGCGAAGGCCCGTCGGAGAACCTCGCGCGCGCGGAGACCCGGCGCTCCGGGCAGTGCCAGAGCCGGCGCCCGCACAAGCGTCTCTCGCGAGTCTAGTGCGAATTCGGGCCGCAAGCTGAGAAAGGACCCGCAGTAGCCTGGCTGGCTAGGCCAAGCCGCTTCGCAACAAGAGTGGGCACCTAGCGCCACGGTTGCCGATGCGACGCAAGGGCGCAGGAGGATGGGGAAGAGCCCAGCAGAGAGGGAAGCAGGAGGACAAGAGCGAACGGCAAGAACATAGAAATTGCTGAGGCCGCGCGCGGGGGGTGCAGGGCACGGGAGGCTCCGAGAGCGAACCGCCCCTGACGCCCCCGGGGCGGCGAACGCCGCCCCCGAGAACGGGGGGCAGCGCGCGCATATAAGACAAATTACGAATACATGCAATGCAACGCTGCGAACGAAACGGGAGGGGGGCGGAAGGCGAGGGGCGGGGAACTGAACACTGCAAAACTAACATTCCCCAGCGAGCCGTAACAATGAACTCTCTGGCAACACCAACAAGCTGCCCTGTGCGAAACCTGAGGCCGCTAACAGGGGCGCCACCCCCCGGCGGTGGACGGGCAAATCCTGCCCCCTCCGCCGGACAATGCGGCACCCGCCTCAGAACAAGATCCCGGGCCCGGCCTCGCACCATTACACGTCGAACTCATGGATGTCAGAGTCGCGTCGCTGCTCTTCTCAGTGCTGCTAGACAAACTGCCGCCGTTGGGTCGTGCTGCTCAACGACGTGCTGCGGACCACGCTGCATGGTCCACACCTGGATGCCAGGGTCCTGCTGCTGTTCCCCGGTGTGCTGCAGGTGTGCTGCTGGTCGTCGTGCTACTGCTCACCAGTGCTGCTGGGCGTCAGGCTGCTTGTCGCCGTCGTACTGGTCGGTGCTGGCGTCGGTGCTGGTGTAGGCGTCGAAGTTAGTGCCGGCGTCGGTGCTGACATCAGTGCTGGTGTGAGCACTGGCGTTGGTGCTGGGCGCAGGTGCCGGCGTTCGCGCTGGCGTCAGTGCTGGCGTCGGCGCTGGTGTAGGCGCTGGCGTCAGTGCCGGCGCAATCGCAGGCGTTCATGCTGGAGTTGGTGTTGGCGTCAGCCCTGGCACAGGGGCCAGCGATTGTGCTGATGTCGATGCTCGCATCGAAGCCAGCGAGGACGCCGGCGTTGGTGCTAGCGCTGTTGCGCGTAAGCTCCGTCTCCGTGACATGTTGATGTATTTTGGTTTGGGGGGACAGGATTTGTCTCCCGAGCTCTGGCCATCTAGCTGCGGCCAAATGTCGGCCCGACCTGCGCGCTGTGATTCATGTTCTCTGTGGGCTTGCATCTTGATCTCGCTCAAAAGCTAGATGGCCGGAGCCTGGGTCGCGCTTGATCATGGCTGCATCGAGGCCGAAGGCGACGGGCGTGTTGGCGCGCGGCCGTGGGAGCAGACGCGGGTCGCCCTTCAGCAGCCGCTGCTGTCGGGCCCGCGCCCAGGCATCCACGTCAGTCCCGCCGGCCACCTTCGAGATCGACACGATGACCCCGTCGACCGTCACGAACGCACGGCCACCGATGTCGAGAGCAACGGCAGGCAGGGGTACGTCCTGCCCGAGCACGTAGCCGTCCAGGGGCTCGTCCAGCACCCAGGTCCCAGCGGCCCCCGCCAGGCGAGGCGCGACCGGCAGTGGAGGCGCGCCCGGCAGGGGAGGCAGCGCCACAAGCAGCGGCGTGGGAGCCGCGGCTGGCGCCACACCTCCTGGACCCGAGCGCGCGGCAGCTCCCGGCGGGGCAGCCAGCCCCCGCGCGGCTCTCTCGACCTGCGCGTGCCGCTCGCCCTCGGCCAGTAGCTGCGCAAACTCCCCCACGTTCGGCCGCGCCTGGGCCTGGAAACGGTAGATCTGCGCTCCCCACAGCCCGAAGGGTAATTGACCACCTGTGCCACCCAGCCGAAGAGCCTGCAGATCGGTGTTGGCGGCATCCACCTGCTCAATGAAAATGTCTAGATCTGGCGTCAAGACAACATACTTACTCGCAGTGAACCAGCAGAGGATGATACGCTCATGGAACAGATCATCACGATCATCTCATAGAACGGCCGACGACCCTGGCGCCAGCACAGCCATCTTAGGCTTGGACAATCACTCCGCCACGGCCCTTGCCCTTGCGTAACACCACGGCACCAGCACCAGCAACCTGCGTGATCGTCGGGCCAGGTGTCTCGACAGGGTTGGTCTCGTCTAGAGCCACGGAAGACACGGTGTCTCGCCGCCGCCTCGCGCACCCTCCCGCCCAGCACGCCCCGACAGCACCGCCAAGCGAAAGCCCGGCAGCCGCCGAGAGCACGACGTCCCCCATCCCCCAGCATGGCTGCGGGCGGATCGGACACGCCGGGCAGACAGGCACGTAGTCGGCGGGGCCGCACCGATTGAGCTGCTTGCGAAGCAGTTCGATGAGGCTCGCGTCGACGGAGCCTCCAGTGAAGTGACAATGAAGAGGCTGCGAAGCCGCCCAGCTGCTCAGCCAATTGCCCACCGCACTGGTCACTACTCCGTGGAAATAGGCCGTGAGGATGCCCATAAGACACGGAGAGGACCTGTGAGCCAAATTGCAGAGCAAGCAGTCGAGAGAACGCCATTCAAAGCCCACCCCTGGCACTCACTACCCTGTACACAGAACCATCATCATCATCACCATCATCATCACCACCATCACCATCACCATCACCATAACCATCACCATCACCATCACCATCACCATCACCATCACCGTCACCATCACCATCACCATCACCATCACCATCACCATCATCATCATCATCATCATCATCATCATCATCATCATCATCATCATCATCATCATCATCATCATCATCATCATCATCGTCATCATCGTCGTCATCTTCATCACCATCAGCATCGGCATCATTATGATCATTGAAATGCTGGCCCGCCGCCCTCACGCACACTCACGGAGTCCGCGTTGGCCTGCTTGGCGGCGTCCCAAAACACGCTGAACTCGCTTGCGTGCTCCGCCGTCTTGAACTTCAGCGCCAGCTGCTCCACCACGACCTCAGAAGAGGAAGAAACAGCACTGACATGAACTGTCGGAGGTCCGCGCGGATGTCTTGGATCTGCGCTGGACCCCCTTTCATGGCGCGTCCACGCAGATTCAAGACGTCCGCGCGGACCTCCGAAAATTTGTCGGTTGTTCTTCCGAAATCCTCAAGACCTCGCCGCCTGCACAGTCCGGGGCGCTCCAGACCCAGCCTTGGCTGCCCCGATGCGCAACACGCAGCCCGCAGCGTTTCGACACGGAGCTCAGAACGCAAACTGGAAACGCAGGTCTGGCGCGATACGCTCGCCGAAACGTATGCTAACACGTGCGCGAGAAACGTGGTGACCACGGTGCGTGTTGCGTTTCGACGTGTACGTGTCAGGGCAGCTAAGGACCCAGCATTTCTCGCTGCCAGCGTTGGGACTGAGGTCGCAGTAGGGCGTGCCGACCACGTAGTGGTTCGACATGACGGTGGCGGTCTTCGCCTGCCGCATAAGGAAGCGGATCCGCCCCGAGGACCAGCGCCGCAGCAGCATGGCATCTCCCGTGCCACAGTCCTGCCACTGGCTACCATGTAGCTTGTAAAGCTTGGCGTACTGGCGGTAGAGCTGCTCCTCTGAGCATCGTTCAACCGATCCCCACTGGCGTGTCCTTGGCCCTGCTGACTCACTTACCCACGGTCGATAACTTCTGGAGAGCGTCACCACGGCGGCCCCGGCGACACGCTATCCCTTGCAAACAGATGGCCCCCCCTAACCTGGCAAATCCCTTACCTAACTTGACCCAGCCCCTGTCGACACTGCGCCAAAACTAACCTGACCCATTAGAGTTAAAATGACCAGCGGCTGCGGCGCCACGTGTTGTAGCAAATGATGTGCCAAAGTGAAGCTACACAGCATCACGCAATGCAGAAGTGCCTAGTGTATCACTGATCCGTTTTCGGCTCCAATGAAGAATCTGGCCGGCGCCGAGGCGAGAGCAACATTCGCCATCGTGGGAGAGCACCCGTCGTACTCGTGGATGCGGCTGGCGCTGTGACGAGAATGACGTTCACAATCGTGGAAGTGGCCGGCGATGAAGCGAAACAACACCCGAAATCATGGGTGTGGCCAGCGCTGAGGCGCTGTTCGCAATCATGTGTGTGGCTGGCGCTGCAGCGATAGCAACCGACGCAATCATGTCTGTGGCCAACGCTGAAGCGGGAGCACCCTTCGTGTCGTGGATGTGGCGCTTGGCGAGACTAACGATCGCAGTCATGGATGTGGCCAGCGCTGAAGCGAGAACAACATCAGCAATCATTGATGTAGCCGGCGTTGAGGCGAAAACAAAAAGTCGCAATCAAAGATGTGGCCAGCGCTGAAGCGAAACCAACATTCGCAATCATGGACGTGGCCATGGTTGAAGCCAAAACCACAATCATAATAGTGGAAGTGGCCATCGGCGACGCGAGACCATCCGTCGCAATCGTGGGCGAAGTGCTCCACTGCACACACGCGCTGGCCCTAGCGCAACAAGCAGCACCACCGAGACGAGCACTGCAAGAAGCAGCAGCGCCATGCGCAGCAGCAGCAGCACGAGCGCCGCCAGCAGCAGTAGCACGACCAACGCAAGCGACACTAATAAACTTCTTTGACCAGCACGACAGCAGACAGCACCACAACACCACAACGCGCACCAGCACCAGCGACACTAGCAGCACAAATATGACGACGACGGGAAACAACAACACCACGCGACGCAGCAAAAGCGCTACCAGCAACACGGCTGTGCAGTAGCACCAGCGCCACCAGCAGCGCCACTGTGACGAGCACGACAGGGAGCAGCAGCGCCACGCGAAGCAGCAACTACCAGCGCCACCAGCAACACCACTGTAACCAGCAAGACGGGAAACAACAACACCACGCGCCGCAGCACAAACGCCACTAGCAGTTCCACTAGAACGAGCACGACGGGAACCAGCGGCGACAGGCGATTCGCGCTGAACCGCGCGAGCGCCCTCAACCCCCAGCCGGCCAGAGACGCAGAAGTCCCACAATGTCGGGCTTTCACCCGCCAGTGGTAACTGGAGCTTAGCTTACACCGTCGTGTAACAGCTTAGCTTGATCGTGCTAATGAACTTGATACTGCGACAATAGCCGACTTCAGTGCGAGATAAACACTTCGTTCAAATACTCATGAGGCTGGCTGAGAAGGTAATACCGCGAAGCTACCATCTGTTGGATTACGCCTGAACGCCTCTTATATCGTACATACTGGCCAAGCGCCTCTGTCCACCATGACCACTATTACATCAGCATTCAGTATCGGCCCTGTTGCATACGAATTGTATTACAATAAGAGGTGCGTGCTTAATCCTCATTTCCCACCTGTGGAAACGAAATGAAGAGTGTGCAGACGGCTCAACCGAATCCATGTACTGCGGACGCTGTGAATAGCGTTGTGCTAAGATCCATTGAGGTTCAACCGGCACTTCTGATTTGTTACATGTCGCACTTCACTTCTCAACCATGCCTGGTTGCAAAGGCGCCACCAGGTAACGCACTTGGATTGAAAGGGGGCGGGTGGGTGGCCGGCGTGGGAGTTGTTCCCGTACTCCAACGCGTCACGGCCCAGATCTTTCGATTTTGCGCTGGAGACTGGGCGCCCCAGGGCAGAGCCCGCAGCCTGCCCCAAAGGCAACGACCCGCAACGCGTCAGTCGTGCCAGCCTGACAGGAAGCAGCCTTGACTACCTGCAGCAGCACCACCAGCGCCATCAGCAGCACAAGTGCGAGTAGCAAAACAAGGACTAGCAGCACTACCCGCAGCACAAGCACCAACGGCAGTACCACTGCGCCGAGGACTGCCGGAAGCAGAAGCAACACGCGCAGCAGCATCAACGCTGCCAGCAGCAGTAGCGCGAGCAACACAAGCGCCACCAGTAGTATACCTCTGTGAAAAACACGACAGCATGCAGCAGCACCACGCGTAGCAGCACCAGCGTCACCAGCAACACCACTGTGACCAGCACGACGGAAGGCAGCAGCACGACACGCAGAAGCACCAGCGCAACTAGCAGTACCACGTTGACCAGCACGGCGGGAACCAGTAGTAGCACGCGCTCTAGCGCAACAACCAGTAGAACCACTGTGACGAGCACTACAGCAGTATCGACGCCAGCACCAAGAGTAGCTCGAGCAGCGAAAATGACACCTGTAGTCGCTCTGCGGTCAGCACGTCAGCAAGCAGGACAACCACGCGAACTGGTACTTGCGGCACTCGCAACACCACTATGAAGACCGCGACGGGGATCAGGAACACCATGCGAAGCGGCATCAACACCACCAGTAGCACCATTGTAATGAGCACGACAGCAAGCAGCGGCACCAAGCGCAGCAGCACCAGCGCCACCAGCAGCACCACTGCGACGAGCACGACGGGAAGCAGCAGCGTCACGCGAAGCAGCACCAGCGCCACCACAGGTGGCGGTGACCTGCACGACAGGAAGCAGCAGCGCTACGCGCATCAGCGCAAGGGCAACGCGCAGCAACATTGTGACGAGTACCACATGATCCAGCAGCGATGCACACAGCACCTGCGCCACCAGAAACATCATTGTGACCGACACGACGGGAGCAGCAGCCCCGCGCGAAGTAATATAAACGCTACCGACAGTTTCGCCAGAACGAGCACGACGGGAACCGGCAGCGCCAGGCGATTCGCGCTGGACTGTGCGAGCGCCACCAACCCCCCACTGGCCAGACCAGCGGGGGAGGAGGCGCTCCCGCACTCCAGCGCAAAGCGTCACGGCCCAAATCGTTCAATTTTGCGCTGGACACCTAGGGCGCCCCAGAGCAGAGATGCGCAGTCCGTCCGCGCGAAGCTTAGCTGGGAGCCGCGGCGAGCCCCGCCCCTGGGAGCAACTGCTGTTCGGCCCAAGCCCGAGGGATGGTCGCTCCCAGTGGGAAGAATTGCGCCAGTCGGGGTAGCAGCGCTACCCCCTGGAGCGCCAGGGCGACCGCGTGTAGTGGCTCGTTGTGGGTCCGCCGTCAGCGCCCGCCGCCTGCCTGCGCCCTCTGGCCAGCAGTTCCAGCGCCTTGCACGGGGCCCTGCCCGGCCAGCAGCGGCGCCTCACCTGGACAGCAGCGGCCCCTGGGCAGCGCACTCCGACCGCCCTCGTCAAGGGGGCGTCCGGCGGCCACCTCGTTGCCGGCGTCGGCATTGCCCGCTGCGGCGGCTGCGGGCCGCCACGCGTCGGGCGTGCAGCAAGAGCAGCGCGAGCGCAACAAGCAATTCCACTGTGACCGGCACGACAGAAAACACCAGCACCACTCGCAGCAGCACCAGCGCCACCAACACTTCCTCTGTGAGTAGCGCGACAGAGACGAGCACCACTACAAGCAGCAGCACACGCGCCGCCAACAGCAATCAGCAGCGCCACCAGCAGCACCACGAGCGCCACCAGCAGCAGTGCAATGATGTGACCAGCACGAGCGCCACTGGTAGCACCTCTTCGACAATCGTGACAGCAAGCAGCATCACCACGCGCAGAAGTACTAGCGCGACTACACCACGCGCAGCACTTCTACGCCACCAGCAACACCAGCGCGACCAACACGACAGGAAGCAGCAGCACCACGCGCACCAACACTAGCGCAACTAGCGGCACCAGCGTGACCAGCACAACGGAAACCAGCAGCAAGCGTAACCAGCAGTACCACTGTGACCAGCACGACGAGAAACAGCAGCATCAGGCGCAGCAGCACCAATGCCACCAGCAGCACCAGTGTGACCAGCAGGACGGGAAGCAGCAGCACACCGCGCAGCACTACCAACACCACTACCAACCCCACTGTGACCAGCAGGATGGGGCACAGCAACACTACGCGCACCAGCACAAACGCAACGAGCAGTACCAGTGTGACGAGCATCACCAGATGCAGCAGCCCTACGCAAAGCAGCAGCACCAGCACCTCCAACGACACCAGTGCGGCCAGCACGAAGGGAAGCCGCAGCACAACGAGTAGCACTGCCAGTGCCACCAGCAGCAACGCTGCGACAAGCCCGACGGGCAAGTGCAGCACTACGCGCACCAGCACAAGCGCAACGAGGAGTACCAGCGCGAGGAGCGCATCACTGGAAGAAGTACCACTATGACCAGCACGGCGGACAACAGCAGCGCCATGCGCAGCACTGATGGCGGCACAAACAGCACCAGTGCGAACAGCACTACGATGACCAGTAGGACCACGCGAAGTAGCCCAAGCTGCATCTTGGCGCCAAAATGGCCGCGGATGGGGCCGCGATGCAGAAGCTTGCGCAGCCCACAGGCTTGTGAGGCTGTATCTTCCCCTGTGGCGAGAACGGTGTTCGCAATTAAGATGTGGCGGGCGCCCCAGCAATGGTACAATAGATAATCAAGGTGGGAACGGCATTCCCAAGAAAGGGTGCTGCCGGCGCCGAAGCGGCAGAGGCGATTACAGCATTCGCTATCATGTTTTCGACCAGCGCCAGGCGAGAGCAGCAATCAGAATCGAGAGCGCGGCCCGCGCTGAGGCGAGGTCAACAATCGCTATCATGCGCGTGGCCAGCGCCTAGCGCCACAGCGAGAACGACATGCTCAATGAAGGATGTCGCCGGCGCCTGGGCGACAGCAACATTTTCAATCAGATGTGGCTGGCGCCAAGGCGAGAACGACACACCCAATGAGGGATGTCGCCGGCACCTGGGCGACAGCAATATTTTCAATCAGAGATATGACCGGCGCCAAGGCGAGAACGACACGCTGACTGAAGGATGTCGCTGGCACCAAGGACACAGCGACACTTTTCATCAGAGATGTGGCATGCGCCAAGGCGAGAACGACACGCTCAATGAGGGATGTCGCCGGCGCCTGGGCGACAGCTACATTATCAATCAGAGATGTGGCCGGCGCCAAAGCGAACGACACGTTCACAGAAGGATGTCGCCGGCGCCTAGGCGACAGCTACATTATCAATCAGGGATATGGCTGGCGCCAAGGCGAGAACGACACTATCAAAGAAGGATGTCGCTGGCACCAAGGCCACAGCAACACTCTCAATCAGACATGTGGCCCACGCACAGGCGAGAACGCCATGATCAATGAAGGATGTCGCTGGCGCCTAGGCGACAGCAACATTTTCAATCAAAGATGTGGCCCACGCACAGGACGGAGCATCATTCCGAGACAAGCGTATCGCAAGAACGCAGGTGCCACGCCCATTCCGCGCGGGCCGAGCTCGGTGTCACCGAGGTCTGGGTGACGTTAGGTGGGTAGTCCGCCTTGAGGGCGGGGGGGAGCGTGTCGCACCGCTCCGCTGGGCGGGACCCTTGGAAAGGCTCGGGATATTGACGCCTCGGGACCGCGAAGTGGGTAGCGTGTCGCTCCAAAGCGCAGTGGGCCAGAACCTGCGGAGCGACGAGCTATACAAAAGTTGACCGCCGCATACCTGTTCCTTCGGGTTTCGCGGGGCCTATCCCCACCCAGGAGGGTGGGCCGGTGGGGCTGACATACCTAGAGTAACAAACAACTGCATAAACATAAAACCTTTGGAGCTCCGAGGTCCGATCGTATTTCTTGGATCCGCGCGGCGCCGCCAGGTGCTCCAGCGCCGATCCAAGAACTCCGCGCGGAGCTCCGAAAGTCTGTGCTTACGACGTCTCTTGTTTTTCGAAGCCCCCCAGCGTTCTCCAGCGGCCTGACGCCCACTCCACCCGGTGCCCCCCGTGCACCCCCCCCCGCCCCGACAATTTCACGTTCGCACCGCACTAAACCCCTCCACCAGGGTTCCCCAGCATCCCAGCGTTCCCCACAAGCCCGCCCTCTCCGCCCAGTGCCCCCTGACCATGGCCCGGTGGGGATCAAGACAAGTCAGACGATGCCGATCCTCGTCGCCGTCGCCGCCGAGGACCTCCAGAAGGATCGACGGCGCCCACCTGAAGCCGCCCGCCAGGACGGCAGCCTGCCCAGACTCGGCCGCGACGGCCTGGCCAGGATCGGTGCAGCCGCATGGCTGGTGCTCTCCGATTGGAGGCGGCCGGGGCGTCTGAGCTGGGTGCAGTCAAAACTGGTAGTGACGATGCGCGATAATCGGGGAAACGTGAGACTCGGGTTCGGGAGACTCGGGTTGGCCTGACGGGGCCATCATGAAAGCGACGAGACCCAATCTGAAATTTGACACGAGCTCCCGCTGCAAACATCCCACGAAGACTGAACCGTCGAAGTCCAGATCGCGCTCGTCAAAAAGCGTCGGCAACCCCCAGTTCTGGCGTACTCGAATCTTACGTTCCACCGATGAGGATGCAAGCCCCTTGAACGCCCGTGTTGAAGCTTTTTCGAGCGCGGCGGGCCGTCGAAAGTGGTCAAGGATGGACCCAAGAGGCACGGATGCGAGGGCACCCTTGGGCAGGCTACCCATCCGTACCATCGTTTTCGATTGTAAGCCCCGAGAAGATCGGTCAGAAGGGGAGGATAAGGGCAAATTCGCTCAAAATCGGTCCACACACCCCTCCCGGGGTCGAGCCGCGTCCAGCCGTGGCGACAAGAGGGCCCTTATCCCCCCTTTCTGATAGCCGGAACCAGCCTGAGATCCGACGCTGCGAGACAAATGCGACATCGCGAAACATCACGACTAGATCCTTTCTGCGCCATTTTTCGAGCTGGATCGACAGGTGAGGGCCCAGGGGCTCGAAACCGGGCGAAAACGCCCGGTGTAACAAGAAATGCAGCGCCCAGATCAGATGGCAGTGCTGGCCCACCTCGGCCCCCTAGCCAGCTCCAACTCTCCGACGCCTCCAGCGGCCCCGCTCTCCCTGAGGGGCAACGACAAGGGGGGACTGACACAGAGGGGGAACATCGACCTGGAGTTGGCGTTACATCGCCGACGGATCGGCAGCAGGCCCTCGATAGCGCAACCGCACGTTCTTGGGCGGGGTGGGCTATCGGGCCCGTATCGGCGATCAATGGGCGATTCTGGACTCGGGTCATGGCTCGGATCTCCAGCGGCCGTTCGGGACGATCGGGGCACCCCCAGAACGCCCCCAGCGGGCGCGGCTCCTGGAAGCCATCCCGAGACTGGAAAACCTGCAGGAGCCGACGAAACCGCCCGAAAACCTCAACTTTCCGCCTGAAAACCTCACTATCCCCCCTGTCGTTGCCCCTGACCCCCGCGCAGGCGGCGCGAAGAGGCCGTCGGCCGCGGCGCCCGGCCCGGGCGCCCGCGGCTCGCCCGTGACGGCGGGCGGCCCCTCCGCGGTCGGCGGCGCACCCTCGCCGGCGCCGCCCGCGGCAGGAGCGGGCGCCTTGCGGAGGGGGGGGCGGCGCCGCGGGGACCAGGAGCCGGGAGGAGGAGGAGGAGGAGCGGCGGAGGAGGAGGAGGAGGAGGAGGAGGAGGAGGTTGTGGTGGTGAAGGAAGAGGAAGAGGAGGAGGAGGAGGAGGAGGAGGAGGAGGAGGAGGAGGAGGGGAGGAGGAGGAGGAGGAGGAGGAGGAGGAAGAGGAGGAGGAGGAGGAGGTTGTGGTGGTGAAGGAAGAGGAAGAGAAGGAGGAGGAGGAGGAGGAGGAGGAGGAGGACGAGGAGGAGGAGCCCAGCGTAAAAAGGGCGAGGTCGTCAACGACCACGGCAAGAGACCCCGTGGTCTCGTGCCCTTCTCGACGCCGTGTTCGCTAGCAGGATCAGCTGTGATGACGGAAAACGCACGAACAGCGGCAATGGCGGAAGACGACCGAGCTGCGGGAGCACGCGGGGGCCGGCCGCAGGGCGGGGCCCGCCTAAAACGAACACGCACAAACCATCGTACAGGACGGGAAGACGAAGAAGAAGGGTCAAGTTAGCCAAATCGGCCAAATCAGAGGGCCCGCCTACTCCGACCCTCCCCCAACAACATAACAATCAATGTTGGATCAACTTGATATCGGGACTGGAACGCGATCCCACCTCGCAAACGGACAAGGCTTGCGCGCGGCCCCAGAAGGGGGTGGAGGAGGACGACGGGGCGGACGGACACGGCCGCGACCGTGCTGATCCAGCGCTGGGGCACCGAGCCCAGCGCGGCGTTCCGCGGCCTCTGCGCTGCGCGGAGTTCAGTGCAGAGCGCGGGCGGCGCAGGCCTCGCTCGCAGCCTCACAAGGAGAAGGGAGGCGAGCAGATGCGCACTCGGCTGGAACTGTGGCTAATCCACCTTCGTAGCACCAGACGTGTCCGCAGGCACTTTGGCCCCCAGCCCAAAACAACGCTTGCACATCGGCCGCTGCAGCACAAGCCTTCTCACAACCAGTGCCCTTCAAAGGAACGCCAGGCGAACCAGGTGTAGCCCACAGGACGACCTGCGGTAGGCAAACTCATGAGGTGAACCGTGGCCTGAGAGAGAGAGAGAGAGAGAGAGAGAGAGAGAGCGGGTGAGACGGGATGGATAATCCCTCTCCCCCTGCGCCGGCCGCGGGGCAGAGGAAACACGTTCCTGGGTGACACAGCCACATCGCGAATCAAACGGTCGCAAGGCAAACTGGGACACCGCACAAGCCGACCTGCGAGAGGCAAACTCACGCAATGACCCGCGACCTGACCAATAAATCGACGGTGCTGTTGCGACAGGAGAGATGGGGCAGAGGAGGACGACGAGGAGGAGTAGGAGGAAAGGAAAGGACTGCAATGGCCGCGCCTGCATGGGCGCACGGCCGGACACCTCGGACGTCGCGCGGTCTCCGGGCCCGAGACAGGAGGGAGGCGACAAGGAGGAGGAGAGGAGGAGGAGGAGGAGGACGAGGGGAAGGGGGGAGGGGCCGCAAGCAGGCATGCAAGCAAGGGGGAGCGCGGGGAGCACGGCCGCGGGGCGCGAGCCACCTGACCCCGCCGGTTCGGCGCGAGTGCTGGGGTGGAGCGGGCGGGAGGCGGGAAGAGGGGAAGGGCCCGCGCCTGCGGGAGCGGGCAGGCCAACGCCCTTAGTCTTTACCCCCGCCGGGCCAGAAGGCCCAGAGAAGGGCGGCCGCCCGGCGGAACGGCGCCACGCCCGCCGCGCTGGCCAGGCGGCGACACCGCCACGCCCCGTCCGAGCACCCCCTCCGCTGGGCAAGGCGGGTCGCGTGTGTGCGGAGGATGGATGTCGTCTGGGGGTGGGGCCGCCCGTATGCTGACCAGATGAGCGGCTGGTACAGGATGTTCTGAATCAGAACGTCTGACGGTCCAGAGCATCGATGCGTGGGGCGTAATAAGCCACCTTGCACTCGCACATGCTGGACACGCAGTCCCGGCCAGCGTTGCACGCGTCGGGAGAGGCAATCCCGATGTCGAGCGCGGTGAGCCCGTGCCTCAGCGTTCCCGCGAGCACGTCCGCAGGTCTCAGCCGGGTGCCCGGGATGAGGTTCTGCGCCTCGAGCTCGGCTGCGGGGTCGCAGCCCTTGGCAGCCTCGCACAGCTGCCGCGCAAGCGCGTGGTGGCCCTTCGTAGCCTCGACCCTGCTGCAGCAGAGGGCGTGCGAGCCCGCGGAGTCGAGCAGCACGGTGCCGCAGAGGTTGCAGTGGGTGGGCTCGCTGGGGCCGGCGGCGCCGACGCGGAGCCGGAGCGCCTCGACGAAGTCTTGGTGGTCGAGGAGGGGCCCCTCGTGCAAGCTCAGAGCCCGGAGCCACTCGTGGTTAGTGTCGGGGTGGCTGAGGCCCTCTGCCGGCCTGAACGTGGCGCTCGCGAAGCTCCAGGCGCGCCTGCGTGTCGAGGCGTGCCAGGATGGCCCTCTGGAGGTGGGCGCGGTCGCGGGGGGCAGCAGCCGGGTGCTCGTCGTCCTCGTCCTCGTCGAGGGGGACGATGCCGCTGCCCATGCGCTGGGGCCGGCCGATCCGTCTGGAAACGCCGTCGTTTGTTGGTGCGCCAGCGTCGAAGAGGCCGGCCCACCGTTCCTCGCACTGGTCGGTCTCGTCTGCGAGGAAGTCCAAGAGCTGCCTCCTGCGGGTCGGAGGGAGGAGCCCCATCAGCGTGACCGCTGCTTCCTCCGCTCGCCAGTCGTAGGCCCCCATGACCCCGGCCGCGGTGCCCAGGCCCTGCCAGGGCGAGGTACTCAGCCATCTCGCGGACGTGCGGGGCGGGAGCTCACGCGGCTGGCGAGGAAAGCGGCCTTGGACACGCGCTCCGCGGTGCGTAGACCGAGGCCGCCCCAGGAGACTCTGGTGGTGGTTTGTTCCCACGCGTCGTCTGGAAGGTCGCCGCCAACGATGTTCTCCACTGCGGTGCGCAGATCTCTGTCGAAAGTGGCGAGCTGGTCGTGGCCGATCCTGTCCCCGTTGAGGCGCAGCTGGTAGGAAAGCTTCGACACGTCGGCGCAGAAGCGGGTCAGGACAAGCTCGGTGGGGACGCGGCTGACGGTGAGCAGCGCGAGGGGGGCGACCCAGACATAGTCGCGTCGTGGAAAATTAAAAGCGCAGGTTGTTCGTCGTATTCAGCCTCCGCGGGTCTCGGGGCTGTCAGAAGACGGTTCCAGACGAATTACATTACCGAGGAATCCCACATACCTACATAAATTCTTCTGTGGTCGCTCGTCATGTCCGCAATATCCCGTTTTCTGAACGTTCAACGAGACTGTTGTCTCGATCGTCATGAAACTCACCATCGCTTGATAGTCTCTCCTCCTCCCCGTCCTCTTTTCCCTAGTGGGGCAAGATGCTAAGTGATTACTGGGGGCTGTTTCCTGGAGCAGGAGCAAGCACGACTTCGCCACATCGCGGTTAGTCAGGGGTCAATGGTGGACTTGTGCAAATCGAGCCCCCAGTGCAACGATCGCTCCGGCACCAGCACGAATAGCTGTCAGAGTATCCCCCTCTCCGCAAACGAACAGCATCTCGCCCAGCTGCGCAATTTCCCGCGCGGGGTAAAGCGATCCTGTCCCCCTCCCTTCCTGCTGCTTTATACCTTCGCCCCTCCCCCCTCCTTTCTGCCCTGAGGTCGGCGCCAACTTGTCTCTCGCAGTGTCCACCTCTCCTCCTACATCTCTTCGACGGCAAGTACATGAACTGCGCGCACAAAAAAATGGCAAGCAAATAAGACCGTCGGCATTCAGTATGTGGGAGCACACTTGGATAGAACATCGATGGGCGATGGCTGGCGGCACGAATACGTGAGACGCGCGAGCACTCTTAACACGTCAAGTAGTGGCGCGGGCAGCGCGACGCCGATGCGGCTGGTCATCGCTGCCTTTGTCGGAAAGAGTCCGGCGCCACATCCCGTCAGAGCAGCAGGGGCCTCTCAACCTCGGGCGGCATGAGTGCCGCGCGCAGATAACAGCGTTTTCTGCCTGCAGTTGGAAATACAGGCGCGCCTGCGTGAAACCGCAAGCGCGCTGAGCCAGGTGTTTACAATTCTTGATCCTACCTGGGCTCTCGTCCGCGCTAGAGGACCACCAACGACGCCCCCCCTCAGGCGCCAAGATAATACCACCACCGACAAGGCCGAAGCGGATAGAAACCGCGCTAGAAGCCCCCCCCTGCGCCCCCCCACCACCACCCCTGCGGTGTCGAGGGAATACCATGCCACTCTTTGCGAGCCCGAAACGGATAGAGACCTCGCTAGAGGACCGCCCCCTGCGATCCCCCTGCGGTGTGGAATAAGTGCCACGCCTGCCACGTTTTGCGAGCCCGAAACGAATGGAGGCCGCGCTGAGGAACCACTCGATGCGCCCCCCTGTGGTGTCGAGAGAGTATCACGCCTGCCACGCCTTGCGAGCCCAAAACGACTAGCGTCCACACCCGCAACGAACCCCCTGTAGCGTCGAGGAAGTGCCACGCCTGCCACGCTGAGCGAGCCCGAAACGGATAGCGTCCACACCCCCGGCGCAACCCATGTGGTGTCGAGGCAATGGCACGCCTGCCGCCCTCTGCGAGCCCGAAAAGGAAAGAAAGCGCGCAAGACCCCCTCTGCGCACCTCATGTGGTGTCGAACAGAAGTACCACGCGTAAGACATCCTGAGGACTACGCGTATGTGTAGGGTGGCCTGCGATTCCTGTGTGTATGAGGTCTGTGCGTGTACGTATATTTCATGCGGGTGCCTAGTATGTGTTGCATACGTCTGGTGTGTCTGATGCAGTCAACACGCCAGGTGTGTCCTAGCGTTGCATTGTGTGTGCGTGGCTGTACGTGCGTGTATGTCTAATGTGTAGGTGATGAACGCGCCAGGTGTACAAGCGTTGTCCCGTCCACGTGTCCTCCCTTTCATACCTGCGCGTGGTGTGTATGTATGCTGTGTGTATGTGTCTTTATGTACGTGTGCGACTGCATGTTTGTTTGTGCCTGATGCGCGCGCGAGTGCAGGTGAGAAGGAGAGGAAGAGAGGGAGGTGAGGGGAGGAGACGCGGGTGGGACGCGGGTGGGAAGAAAACCAGAACTCCACTTTAGTGAGGGGAAAACCTGTCCCTGGGAATGGGTCGAGACCTTCCGGGGTCCATGTCGTGAACTACCGGTCCTGGGGAAAGGGTCGAGACTCCTGGGGGGCCCGTACCGAAAAAAACTAAGACATCGCATGTCTGGGTTGAGATCCTGGCGTCGCAATTCTTGTCACACCAGGCGATGTCGCACTATTTCGCGCCCCAGGACGCTCGCGGATCGATCCCGCTCGAGAGATGCCGCAGAAAGATGGGGTCTAGGGCTCCCGTCGTGATTCATACGATGATGCGCGTTCTTCATGACGTCTGATCCCCAGGCCTTGGGACCGTCAAAGAACGAATCGGAGTGAAAAACTGGCCCTGGGAAGGAGTCAAGAGCTCGGATGTCCAGGTCCGGCACCGCGGGGACGAGGAGGATGAGGAGGAGGGGGAGGAGGAGCAGAAGGAGCAGGAGAAGTAGGAGCAGAAAGAGGAGGGTGAAGGCTGGAAGAGAAGGAGGAGGAGGAGGAGGAGGAGGGGAAGGAGGAGCAGCATCAGCAGGAGGAGCAGGAGGAGTGTGAAGGCTGGAGAAGGGGAAGGGGGACGAGGAGGAGGATGGGCCTGGGCGTTGTTAACTTGATGGGGAACCTCCTGAGGAAGGAGGAGGAGGAAAAGAAGGAGGAGGAAGAGCAGGGGAAAGAGAAAGACGAGAGGAGGAGGATGAGGAGGAGAAGGAGGAGGAGGACGACTACGACTACGACTACGACGACGACGACGACGACGACGACGACGACGACAGCGACGACTATAAAGATGACGACGATGATGACAACGACAGCTTCGGCGACGACGACGACTTCGACGACAACGACGACGACGAAGATGACGACGACGAGAGGAAGAACGGCGACGACGGTGGCGGCGCCAACGACGGCCACGACGACGACGAAGGCCCTGACCCTGCCAGGGTTGCCCCTGGCGCCTTCCAGTGGCCAAAGCCATCCGCCTCTGCCTGAGGATCCACGGGCACACCTACGTGTCTGGCCTCCGCGTCGGCCTCGACCGTGTCGCCAGCAGAGCTGACGGGAGCCCCCGGCTCAGCCCCGCCGCCAGCGGAGCCGAGGCTGCGAGCGCACGTGGACGGCGCGGCGCCCTCGGCCGCGGCGCCCGCCAAACCCTCGGCCGCGGCCTCCGCGTTGTTCCGCTTAGCAGCACTCCAGGCCTCGCCGAACCTGCCCGCGAGCTCCGCCGTCCTGAACCTCAGGGCTAAGATCTCCACCGCGAGCGCTCCATCCGCGAAGTCCGGGGCGCTCCAGACCAAGCACTTGTCGCTGCTGGTGTGGGGGCGGAGGTCGCAGCACGACCCGTCGTCGACCACGTGGTGATTGGCGACAATCTTGCCCGTCTTCTCCTGCCTCATGAGGAAGCGGACCCGCCCCGAGGCGAAGTGTCTCAGCAGCCTGGCGTCCCCCAGCCCACGCTCCTTCCACTCGCCGTTCTTGAACCTGTACAGCTTCGAGCGCTGACTGTACAGCTCGTCCTCGTCTTCGTCACCAGTCGCTATGCCGTCGATGACCTCCAACTGGATCGAAGGCACCCACCCTGGTACGGCCGTCACCTCCTCCTCCTCCTCCTCGTCCTCCACCTCACCCTCCTTGAGCAGATCCTCCTCTTGCCTGGGCCCCAGCGTCGGCTCGGCCCCATCCGCGCCACCACTTCCGGTGGTCCGCATGGCTGCTGCCAATGTACCGCCGCTGGCACCGCAGCCTCCAAAAAGGCTGCCCTGGGGGGCCCCACCACCAGCGTAAGAGGAGAAGGACGCGAAAATCGGGGCGGGCGGCGCCTCTTTGGACGACCGACATGGGTACGATGCCAAGCATTGTTGTCCAAAACCGACAGCGGTCGCCGATGGCCAGGCGGTCTTCTGCCTCAGATGGACAACGTCCACGGCGACACCGACAGCGAGTCATGTTAAAAATGAGCAAGGGCCGCTGTTGGTCGTCGTGCCCATTCTTTCGGTACCCAATTCGCTCGTGCCGAGCCTCGTCAATAGCGACACCAGAGCCGAGTGGCACCCCTGGCCCGGCCCCAGCAAAGCCAGCGCCGAGGGCGAATGCCGAGGCCGCTAGGGCGGCGCCGCCGTTGGCCGCAGGGCCGTCGAGAGCCAGGGCGACCGACGCGCTGCTGGAAGCTGCCGCCGCGATCCCTGGGGAGCCAAAGCACGACCACGCCCGCCCACTCCTCCCTCCCAAGCATGTCGTCGCGCCCGTGGATCGGGGAGACGCAAGACTCGACCTTGGGGGGCTCGAGGTTGCCGACGCGGCGGTCAGAATAATAGCAGGACCTGATTTAAAGTTTGACGTGAGCCTCTGCTGCGAACATCTCGCGGGAACTGGACTGCCAAATCTCATGGACGGGGCCGCCTGGAAGCGTCAGCAAATCCGAGCTCTGGCAAACTCGAGTCCTGCGTTTCCCCGAGAGGAGGCAGGCACGTAAGGGTAGATTGGGAGCAGGGCGAACTGAGACAACGGGAACTCAAAGTCGGTCCCCAGACCCCTCCCAGGGCCCAGACGCACCAGTTTCACGAGCTGCGTCCAGCCGTGGCGACGAAGGGGCCCCCCGAAGGCTAACTACCACTGCCTCAACTCGCCTTCCTCTTAGTAGAGGCAGCCGCCGCCCGCTGAACTCTTCGGTCAAACACAATCGCCCAGGGCGGTGGATCGCCCGGCCCCACTCCAGACGCACCCCGTGTGATCGCGTAGCCCCCGAGGCCTCGGGTCCCAGCCTCTGCAAGCGCACGCGCCGCGTGTTGTTCTCGCGTTCCACGCCCGACGGATGTCGAACAGCAGGGTCTACAGCAGGCTTATACGATAAGAATTCCTGCCATTGGAACTCTGTCAGGGGGGTAAGAAACTTCCGCGGGGCACCTGCTGGCAGGCCGATTTTTTCGTTGGTGCGCCTACGGCAAGTCCAGGAGAGGGTTCAGAAACGAGGCGCTGGGGCACCGAACTAGCTCGGCAGCAGGACCCATAGCACACACTTGCCATTACTCCAGCGAGGAGGGCCCCAAGTCGGCCCAGAGAGGCCCCCCAAACGGCTTCCGACGGCGTCAGACGGGCCAGGAGCCCACCAAGATGGCCGAAGTTGGCTCGACGCTGGCCCAAGACGGCCCAAGAGGCCTCCAAGAGGGCCTCCAGGAAGGCCCGAAAAGGCCAAAATCATTGGTATTCCATTGGTTTTTGAAGGATTTTGACGTTTGCTTCTTTTCGGCCTTCCGACGGCTCGAGACGGTCCAAAAGACCCCAAAGATCGCCCGCACAGCGCCCAAGAGGCCTCCAAGATGGCCCCAGAACGGCCCAAGAGGCCCCCAAGACGGCCCCAAAAGGCCCCCAAGACGGCCCAGGAGCCTTCAAAGACGCCAAAGATGGCCTCCAAGACGGCCCTGGAGCATTCCAAGAGGGCCCCAAGTCGGCCCAGAGAGGCCCCCCAAACGGCTTCCGCCGACGTCGGACGGGCCAGGAGTCCACCAAAACGGCCGAAGATGGCCTTAAGATGGCCCAAGACGGCCCAAGAGGCTCCCAAGAGGGCCTCCAGGAAGGCCCGAAAAGGCCAAAATCATTGATTTCCCAAAATTGTTGAAGGATTGTGGCATTTGCTTTTCTTCGGCCTTCCGACGGCCCGAGACGGCCCAAGTGCCCCCAAAGATCGCCCAAGAGGCCCAAGACGGCCTCAAGGGGCCCCCAAGACGGCCCAAGAGGCCGCCAAGACGCTCAAGATGGCCTCCAAGACGGCCCAAGAGCCCTCCAAGACGTTCTCCAGGAAGGCCCACACGTGTTCCCACGAGCCCTCCAAGAGGGCCTCCAGGACGTCCTCCAAGATGACCTTCAAGATGCCCACGTAGGCCCCCAAGATCGCCTCAAGATCGCCCAAGAGGCCTCCAGGATGGCACCCAAGAACGGCCCAAGAGGCCACCAAGACGGGCCCAAGAGGGCCCCAAGATGGCCCAGGAGGCCTCCAAGACGCCCAAGATGGCCTCCAAGACGGCCCTGGAGCAACCCAAGAGGGCCCCAAGTCGGCACAGAGAGGCCCTGAAGACGGCTTCCGACAGCGTCAGACGGGCCAAGAACCCACCAAGACGGCCGAAGATGGCCCTCAAATGGCCCAAGGGAAGGCCCGAAGAGGCCAAAATCCTTGATTGTCCTTAGGTGTTTGAAGGATGTTGGTATTTGCTTCTTTTCGGCCTACCGACGACCCAAGACGGCCCAGAGAGGCCCTGAAGACGGCTTCCGACGGCGTCAGACGGGCCGGGAGCCTACCAAGACGGCTCAAGATGACTCTAAGATGGTGAAAGACGGCCCAAGAGGCCTCCAAGAGGGCCTCTAGGAAGTCCCAAAGAGGCCAAAATCATGGATGTGCCATAGGTTGTTGAAGGATTTGGGCATGTGCTTCTTTTCGGCCTTCCGACGGCTCGAGACGGCCCAAGAGGCCCCAAAGATCGCCCCAAGATCGCCCAAGAAGCCTTCAGGATGGCCCCAGAACGGCCCAAGAGGCCACCAAGACGGGCCCAAGAGGGCCCCAAGATGGCCCAGGAGGCCTCCAAGACGCCCAAGATGGCCTCCAAGACGGCCCTGGAGCAACCCAAGAGGGCCCCAAGTCGGCACAGAGAGGCCCTGAAGACGGCTTCCGACAGCGTCAGACGGGCCAAGAACCCACCAAGACGGCCGAAGATGGCCCTCAAATGGCCCAAGGGTGCAATTCACAGCCCAGAGCCTGCATATCTAGAGCCTACTTAGCACAGATGGCCCCTAGAGGCCGAGCGTGACATATGTATAGCCGACTCCACAGGAGCCTCTTTTATGTATCCCTGCGTATCCCGGCGAATCGGGCCCCCTTTAGCCTCCAGGTTGCAGCCAGCCTTGCTTAGTAGGCCCTCCGAGATACTCCGAGATCCTCCGAGATCCTAATTATAATATCCCAGAACAGGTTCATCCGAAACCGTTCTGGCTCAATCCTTTGCAGCGTCACAGCGACGCTGGACTGACTGGTGTGCGTCTGGGAGACGCAGAGTCGTCACCATCGTGCGACCAGAGTCGCACAGACACTGTCCCTGATTCCCCAATAGCAAGGACCTCACACACACACACACACACACATCATCGAGAGAGACGAGAGATTAGTATCCTGGTTTGATATCTTGTGAGAAGGGAGATAAGTAGTATGGATTATATCAGGGCAGTGGTCTATCAGCGGGACCATTGCATGGTAGCGGAGCATACGCTCCACGGACTACAGATTCACGGATATAGACGTTCCAGCCATGGCAAAGAATAATGGAGACGATATCGTACCAAAGTGGAACGGAGATCTCACCACGGTGGATGACTATGAGAGAGATGTCAAGGCCTACATCCGAGGGACCCGTCGAGATGAGAGATACGTATGCGGCCCACGTTTATGGGGACGACTTGAAGGACGAGCGAGGCAAGCAGCCAAAGATGTCGACTGGGACCGCATCGAGAAGGACGACGGAGCTACCGAGTTGCTTAGACATGTGAGAGCAAAGCTCGGAGCTCAACCCATCCAGGATGCAGGAAAGTATTTAGCCAGATGGATCTTCGATCTACGACGGGACACTGGAGAACCGATGCCGAGCTACATCAACAGAGACGATGAGGCCTACCATGACGTGGTCAAGGGGTTCGACACCGAGTATTTCAAGAAGCAGCGCACAGCCCGACTCTCGGAGAGAGCCAAGAAGTGGAATAACCTCTATGGAGAGCTCAACTTGTTCCTGTATAAGATCGAGCAGGAGGCCCGGAGGACGCTGCGGAAAAGGCCAAGGAGCTGAACCACTCGCTCTGGGACTTCGTCAAGACGGGCCTTGAGGAGATTCCAGAGCATCCCGACTTCGGGAGGGATTTCAACCAGGCGATCCCCCTAGACCAGCTGCGCGGATGGCTACTGCTACAGCGATCGAGACTGACACCGACGGAGCGGGCAGCGGTCATCAGCGCAGTCAAGGGTAACTCCGACTACGACAGCATCGGAGAGCAGTTACGAGTTTCCTGGCCAGATGATGAGCTGACCAATCGGGACAAGAAGCAGGGCAAGGATTTTCGTCACCGAGATCGTGGACGGATCCATGCCGGCTAGGAGGCGAACAGCGAGGAGGACGACGACTACAGCTACTACGAAGAGCACGAGTCCGAGGCGACCTACGACGGCCAGGGCGACGAGGAGGATGAGGAAGATCCCGAGGAGCCGCTCTACAGTGCCCAGGAGATCGAGGAAGCCGAGACCGCTTTCGCCGCCCAGCAGAGAAGCTTCGAGGAGGCCCGAGATTTATTGAGACGAGTGAAGACCGCCAGGAAATTTTACCCCGTGGATGAGAACAAGAAGCGAGAATACCGAAGTGGACATCGCAAACCGCCAGGGCCCCGGGCTGGATCTAGAGGCTCAGGGTCATCCAAGGGACGAGGCCGCGGGAGCGGACAGCGACGTGACGGACCACCCCGACGAGAAGGAGATCGCTCCCAAGGCCGGCCTCCCAGGAAAGGACCATGTCTGAAGTGCGGCGGTAACCACGAGACCAAAGATCATCGAGATCGAGAACGCGCATCTTCTACTGGCAGCCGGGGCGACCGAGACCGAGACCGACACACAAAGGGGTTCGGAGCGTTTGTCTTCTTCGGCACCGAGCAGGATGCCGAGATGGAAGCTGACCTCATCACGAACGAGATGCCCAGGCTGCGGTTGGAAGCGTCCCTTGCTAACAAGCCAGTGATCAAGAAGAATCGGCCGAAGACCGCCAACCAGAAGAAGCAGCTGGACAAGAATTCCTACATGCCGATCGAGAGGGCCATCGAGTTGCGCGAACGAGTCCAGCACGAGAAGCTACCGATGTGGTCTACCCTGGAGAAGGCCGAGGACTGGATTCTCATGAGTGTCAAGCAGAGCTCCTCCAAGGGTTTCGGCATTCTCGACATCGGCGCGACCTCCAGCATCATGGGCATAGAGGCCGCCGAGAACCTACGCGACATTATCTACGAGCAGACGGGCAAAAACATCAAGATGGACGTTAGTCAGAAGAGTACGTGTATATTTGGCGACGGCAATGCCAGGACCTGCACCGGCAAGGCGACCTTTCCCCTCATGATCGCCAGTGTGGACGGCGAGCTAGAGATCAACATCCTCGACGCAGACGACCCGCTCCTGATCGGAGTGGACGTGCTGAGCCGCCTCGGGGCTGTGATTGACTGCGAGGCACACGCTGTTTACTTCAAGAAGCTCGGGCGCCGAGCTGAGCTGCTCGTCCTTCCGAGCGGCCACCTTGCACTGCCACTTGTACGTCAAGCCGATTTTGGCTTCGTGGCATCCCTCGAGTAGGGGTGCGCGCCCTCGACACCCGAGACTGCTACGGTGCCGGAGGGAAAACCTGAAAATAAACAGCCAATCCAAAGCGAGATATCTAGACCGTCTGCAGCTGTACCCCACGAGGTCCCCGACGAGGTCCCAGACATTGGAGCCCCACAGGCCTCAGGTACATCATCATTACCTACGACCACGGGGACATCATCATTACTTGGGACTACGGGGACATCATCATTACCTACGACTACGGGGATATCATCCTTACAAACGTCATGGACATCATCAGAATCGTCCCCTACAGCACCTACTATGACATTATCAGGAACACCTACAGAGGCTCTCCCAGAGATCCCCAAGTTCCCAGAGCTTCAGACCCCAACGCTCCCACCTTCCAGAGCCATGTATGGCGCAATAGATCCGAGCCCAGAGCTCAGATTCCAGCAACCAGCATTTCTTCCATATTCGCATGAGCCTCAACCGCGAGGCGAAATGCCGCAAAGCCGAGAGCCAGCAGGTGAAGCTGGAGAACGAGGAGATGGTCGGATCATGGGAAGCGGTGCCGCCACTGGATGCAGGCGCTCCGACTCGCCCTCCGACGTCAACGAGACCTACGCAGCCGATGCCGCCATCGGCTCGTCTGATCCAGCATCAGAACACGAGGGGCAATACATTCTACACGGTCGAGGGCTCGGAGCTGGACAAGAGCCTGAAGCGCCTATCGGACACCTTCCTACTGGAGCATCTGCCGACCTGGGAGATGTGGTCCAGCAAGCTCCTGAAGCAGTGGACGATGTGCCGCCGCTGGGGGCGGGTCTTCCTCAAGGTCTTCCTCAAGACGATCGACCGGGTGACCTGGAAGCTGGACAGCATCGGCCTCCCTGTGCAGCTGCTGCCCGAGAAGTACCCGACCTGGCCGGCGGAGCTCGGGCATCGTGCGAAGATCGAGCCACAGCGCCCCAGGACGGAGACGAAGCAGAGGTCAGCCGCATCCGCGGCCGCTCGAGAGCAGAACCAGGAGCTTCGGGCCAACATCGAGACCGCAAAGTCCGATTTCTCGACCAAGTATGCGACGGTGGATGTGTTTGCAGCGCTCAGCTCGGAACAGATCTACGAGAAGCTCAACATGGTGACGGTGGTCAATCACCTGAAGCCCCTGTGCAAGACCTGGGGACTGACGCAGTCCAGCAAGAAGGAGGAGGTGATCGACAGGCTCATCGCGCACATCATCGAGGAGCGCGGAACGGCGGCAGCGACGATCAGGGTCAAGAAGGAGCCGGAGACCAAGAAGGTGGAGACGGGGCTTATCGTTGTGGGCCCGGCGATCCCAGCGCACCACACGCAGATGTGCCAGCACCCAGATTGTCAGCAGCAGCGGGGCATCGCGAAGAACGAGCCGATCGTGAAGGTGAGGCCCTTCGGGTGGTGCCACCAGGCGTGCGGGAGGAGGACCAGGACCTGAGTGACATTCAGGCCGAGAAGCTACGCTGGGGAAGCGACGAGAGCCGCCCTCTGAGAGGCCATCAGCGTCAGGCCATTCGTGCAGCTACCCACTCGACGAGGTCGGCCATCTTCGGAGCTATGTGCGCTCTCACGACCTTCGGCAGATTGACGATGGTCGAGGCGTGTACCCACGAGGACTCCAACCTTGGCCAGGTCTGCGACGAGAAGGGCTACCACTACGAGAGACTCGGCCTGTTCAACGACTGCGACCTCAGCAAGCCGCAGGGCTACCACAAGGCGAAGTTCCTGCTGGACGAGAGGCGCCCGGAGCTCCTCGTCAGCACACCTCCCTGCGGGCCGTGGTCGATTATGCAGAATATCAACCAGCGCGACGACAAGCAGAAGGAGAATCTGCGCAAGAAGCGACTCAAGAGCCAGCGGATCTTCGAGAACAACAAGAGGCTCATCGAGCATCAGGTGCTTCACCTGAATGGCTCGGCCCTCGCCGAGCAGCCACACAACAGTCGTTCGTGGCAGAAGACCTGCTGGAAGGACCTGCACAAGATTCTCCCCTACGAGGTGATCGTAGACGGCTGCGCCTGCGGACTCAAAGCCCCGGACACAGGCGAGCTCATGAAGAAGCGCTGGAAGTTCCTGACGAACGACAAGAGGATCTGGGTGGCCCTCCAGCCGCTACAATGCCGTGGAGGACACTATCATGAAGAGATCGAGAGCAGTCTGAGGACCGAGGCCTCGGGCTCCTATCCCAAGATGCTGTGCCGCCGGATCCTCCGAGCTCTGACCAAGAGCCAGAATCAGAATTACTTCGAAGAAGAGGTCGTGAATTTCTGTATGGCCGCTACCCAGCAGCCACCTACTGAGCCGACTCCAGAGGAGGACGAGACATCGATTCCACCACTAGATGGCAAGGAGTCGCACGACCTCACCAGCGACACAGTCAAGAAGCTCGAGAGCTACATCAGGCTGGTTCACACCAACCTGGGACATTTACCTCGAGCACATCTTCTACGTTACCTACGAGACCGAGGTGCGAGACCTGAGGTGCTACGATTGGCCAGAACCTTCAAGTGCGACATCTGTGATGCTCATCGACCACCGACGAAGCGGCCACCAGCTTCCTCAGCAGAGCAGCCTCAGAATGGTCACGAAGTTTTGTTCGACGCCTTCTCTTGGATCCGTCGCAGCACGAACACCAACGTGATGGCGCTAGCGATCCTCGACGCTGGATCGGACATACTCTACGTGCGGCTTATCGACGAGAAAGCGATCCCAGGGACCTGCCGACAAGTTCGGGCGGGCGACCTTCGACACATCTTTGCTACGAAGTGGTTCCCTTGGAAGGGACGGCCGAAGGTCATGCGCTATGATCCAGCTGGGAGCGCCATCTCCGACGAGTTCCGCGAGTGGATCGAGAGCCAGGGAGTCTACTGCCTCCCATGCGCTGCCGACGCCCACTGGCAGATCGGCAAGATCGAACGAGCCATTGAAGCGTTCAAGGAGGCCCTTGACGCCTTCGACGAGATGATCTTAGCTGAAGTTCCCACGAGCGAGATGTTCGGACTACAGACAGCAGCCAGGAACGACCTGATCAGGATCGACGGGTTCAGTCCGCTGCAGCGCTATGCAGGACGGACACCCACTGGCACCACGGTCAACCTCTTCGACGAGCCGACCAACCTGCCGCTCATCAGCGCCGAGCTGCAGGACGGCACCTTCAGCAGGGACGCTCAAGTACGACGGCTGGCACGGCTAGCTCACATCCAGACGGAGAACTCCGACCGAGTCAAGCGTGCGGAGGCCGCAAGATTCAGATCGTTCAAGAAGTACGAGACGGGCGACCTGGTATTCGTCTACCGGCGACTCCCACCAGGAGCCTGGCGCAAGAAAGGACAACCCCGATCCATGCCAAGACGAGGCCGCTGGTACGGACCTGGACGAGTACTCTGCCATGAGCCTCAAGCTCAGGACATCGACCTGGTATGCCCGGGACGGTGGTCAACATCACGCTAGCTGGACGACTCTACCGAGTTGCTCCCGAACAACTTCGGCCCGCCACACCTTCCGAGGAGGCGATGGCGTCGCTACGCTCGCGCCGCGAGCAGCCTGGAACATGGACCTTCGGCGACGTCCAGAAGCAGCTCGACACGAACGAGGTGATCGACCTGTCGAACGAGTCCCCCACCCACTGGTGAGGACCTGGCCGCTGACGACGGAGAGTCGGTCAGCGCCCGCACCTTCGAGAATAACGCAAGCGGACCCTGGGCCATTCCTGAAGACGAGGACCTACCTGTTCCACGAGGAGGTCCTCGGAGCTTGGACCCAGGCGGTGGCGGAGGCGGTGGAGCCCCATCAGCCCCACCAGACCTCGAGGAACGACCACTCCCAGGCCCGCGACCGCCCAGACGACTACGGAGGAAGTGCAATCCCTGGGATAAGTCTACCGAGGCCCAGGAACCTCTCATCCAGCCAGCACCACCAGAAGCTCCACCAGGTATTCCACAGACTGAAGATCACGAAGCTGGGCAGCCAGCCGAAGCCGAACCGACTGCAGAAGATGAAATCATCATGGAGGCTCCTCCAGATGACGATCAAGAGCCCCCCTCGACTCAGCAACCTCTGGCCGTGGACACGGACGATGAGTTGGACGAGACGACGGCGCCGAACGACAATGACAAGCGTCGGCTACGATCGCCAGGATCTACGGAGCCCCCGATCAAGAAGCAGCGGATCAACTTGGCGACCCAGGAGGACTATTCCTACTACCTGCAGGAGGGAACTTCTACGGGGACTACGCCTACAGCGTCCAGCCGTATGACGAGGTCAAGGAGGACGACGAGCTCATCGTGCTGGACATCCCTGTCAACAACGAGCACGCGTTCATGGTTTACATGGACGACCCCAGCAACTTTGTGGCATCGCAGGCCCGGAAGGGCCGAGTCGAAGTCTCATTCAAGAAGGCAACCCCAAAGGAGAAGAAGCTGCTACTCGAGGCACAGCAGAAGGAGTGCACCTCCGTCCTCAGCACGAAGGCCGTCAGGATCCTCAGTCGACAGGGGATCGACCCAGCGCGTCTGTTGCGCTGCCGTTTCGTGCTGACCTGCAGGGGCAAGGCCAGATTGGTCGTGCTCGGCTTCAGCGACCCCGACCTGCTTCATCTACGGACGGAGTCTCCCGTTGCATCACGACGGGCACGTCAACTTCTACTGGCCATGGCAGCGAGACACAAGTGGAAGCTGGAGAAGGCCGATGCTGTGACTGCCTTCCTCCTGCGAGAAACGGACGAGGAGAAGCGGAAGATCTACGCGGACCCCCCGAAGGACGTATGTCAGGCCTTCGGCATGAAAGACGACGATGTCCTGCAGTTTCTCAAGCCGATGTACGGGTTCGTACATGCTCCTCGCAAGTGGTGGCTACATTTCATGGAAACGCTCAAGATGCTGCAGCTGGAAGCGATACAGTGCGAGCCATGCGTCTGGGCCATCCGAGACAGCACTACGCTGGTCGGCATGGTCATCCTACACGTTGCCGACATGATGATTGCCGGCGATCATACTCACGCGGGCTTTCTCAAGAAGCGACAAGAGATCCAACAAGCATTCGAGTGGACCCCCTGGGAAAGCCGACCATTCGTGCAGTGCGGTATCAGCATCCGCCAGAACGAGGATTTTACTTGCAGTCTCGCACAGGACAGCTACAGCCTGAACGTGATCCCATCAAGATACGACGTGGACGGAAACCTACAGACGGAGTCTCGGACAAAGAGAGATCAGACTTACGAGGGCGACTTGGTACAGTCGGCTGGCGAGCTCAACAGTCCGCCCCGTGGCTAAGTGCTGAAGTCTCTCTACTTCAAGCGAAGATACCTACGGCTACGGTCTCGACCATCCAGAAGATCAATAAGCTCATCCGCGCCATGAACGATACTGCCGACGTGGTCATGCTCATCCCCGCCATTGAGCATATCGCTGTGGTTGGCTGGGGCAACGCAGCCTGGGCTGCCCGTATCACCGGCGAGTCCCAGGGTGGCGAGATGATCGTGTTGGCCCCACTGTCTTTCCTGAGCGGCTCGACTGAGACAGTGGCACGTATCTCCTGGAGATCGGGCAAACTACCGCGAGTCGCCAGAAGCAGTACGAGTGCGGAGGTTCAGATGATGACGGAGACCCTAGACGAGATCAGCTACGTGCGCCTGTTCATCTATAAGTTGGAGTGCGGCCAAGTGGGCTACACGAACAAGCAGCACGTGAACGACGCCATCTCATCCTGCCCTGGCGTGCTAGTCACAGACGGCAAGTCGGGCTACGACGCTATCGAGAAAAGTGAGTCGGCTGGTCTTGGACTACGCGACAAACGTACGAGCATCGAGTATCTAGGCATTCGACAGCAGAAGGAGCAGACAGCCCTCCAGATACATTGGGTTCACAGCGACGCTATGCTCGCCGACGGTCTCACCAAGGATCGTGCCGCCAAGGTCTTGCTCGAGTTCTTCAGGACAGGCCAGCGCTGGAGGCTCGTGGACGACCCTCTACACCGCAGTGCCAGAAAACGCAAGACCGAGGGCATGGACAAGCTCGACCACGGCAAGCCGCTGTCCCCCGACGATGACGAGGCTATGCTGGAGGCCCTCATCTACTACGCCAGCGACAACCCCGACGAGCAGGATATCCCTGCTGGAGATGCAGCCCTGTGGGGCACAGTGAGGAAGCTCACGCGCTCTGTGCTTTCTGTGAATTCAGCCGCCAGCGGCAGGACTCGATGCCGTAACATCGATCTTTAGTTTTTGGGCATGCAACTCACAGCCCAGAGCCTACCTATCTAGAGCCTACTTACCACAGATGGCCCCTAGAGGCCGAGCGTGACATATGTATAGGATCCGATTCCACAGGAGCCTCTTTTATGTATCCCTGCGTATCCCGGCGAGTCGGGCCCCCTTTAGCCTCCAGGTTGCAGCCAGCCTTGCTTAGTAGGCCCTCCGAGATACTCCGAGATCCTCCGAGATACCCATCAAAATATCCCAGAACAGGTTCATCCGAAACCGTTCTGGCTCAAGCCTTTGCAGCGTCACAGCGACGCTGGACTGACTGGTGTGCGTCTGGGAGACGCAGAGCAGAGAACTGCCCGCCAATATACAGATCCTGTTCATCACCATCGTGCGACCAGAGTCGCACAGACACTGTCCCTGATTCCCCAATAGCAAGGACCTCACACACACACACACACATCATCGAGAGAGACGAGAGATTAGTATCCTAGTTTTATATTCTGTGAGAAGGGAGATAAGTATTCTGGATTATATCAGGGCAGTGGTCTATCAGCGGGACCATTGCAAAGGGAAGGCCCGAAGAGGCCAAAATCATTGATTGTCCTTAGGTGTTTGAAGGATGTTGGCATTTGCTTCTTTTCGGCCTACCGACGACCCACGACGGCCCAAGAGGCCCCAAAGATCGCCCCAAGATCGCCCAAAAGGCCTCCAGGATGGCCCCAGAACGGCCCAAGAGGCCCCCAAGACGGGCCCAAGAGGGCCCCAAGATGGCCCAGGACGCTTTTAAGACGCCCAAGATGGCCTCCAAGACGGCCCTGTAGCAACCCAAGAGGGCCCCGGCTTCCGACGGCGTCAGACAGGCCAGGAGCCCACCAAGACGGCCAAAGAGGATCCCGAGAAGGCCCCCGAAGGCTCCCAAGATGCCCCCTCCTCCTCCTCCTCCTCCTCCTCCTCCTCCTCCTCCTCCTCCTCCGCCTCCTCCTGATTTTCCCCGCCATCCTCCCCCAAGTGTTCCCCGAAGGGTTTCCACAACGGCTGGGGGAACACAGGGCCCGATAGCTTGGCAGAGCTCTTGCCACAACGCTCGGCCACATGGGCGATTCTAGAAGGTAGGGGGCGGCGGTGATTCGCCGCAGGCGTCTTCGATAACGCCAACGTCTCAATATGCGCTGATGATTTCTATCCTCCCCCGCATGATGCTCCCAGGTGCGCCAAGGCAGCGCCGAGACGCACCGACGCGACTCTGATGTGTCCGATTATGATAGTGAGGGGGCCGTCGGCAGGGGGCGAAGACCTTACGGATATTTTTATATATATATATGTATCAGAGTGAGGGGGCCGAGCGGTCATTCATTGTCCCTGGGTGCGTGGCTGAAGTGGGGATCCGTGGTGGGGATTCTGCTTGTTGTTGTTGTTGTTGTTGTTGTTGTTGGTGTTGGTGTTGGTGTTGTTGTTGTTGTCGTCATCCCCCCCCGCGACCCGCCCCGCGACCCACCCGCGACCCGCCCCGCGACCCACCCCGCGACCCACCCCGCGACCCACCCCGCGACCCCCCCCCCGCGACCAACCCCGCGACCCGCCCCGCGACCCGCCCACGACCCACCCCGACACCCACCCCGTGACCCGCCCACGACCCACCCGCGACCCACCCCGCGACCCACCCGCGCGACCCACCCGCGACCCACCCCGCGACCCACCCCGCGACCCACCCCGCGACCCAGCCGCGACCCACCCGCGACCCATACGCGACCCACCCGCGACCCATCCGCGACCCATCCGCGACCCGGTCTGCGACCCGGTCCGCGACCCACCCGCGACCCACCCGCGACCCACCCCGCGATCCACCCACATTGCTTCAACGAAAAAATCCGCGCCTGCGGCGGGCTCACTGCATAATTTGTAAAAGTTAGGCGCCTGCGGCGGGCTTCTTCAGAGCCTCGCAGACTGACGACGTCCTCGCCGCCCCCTCACACGTATCCGCAACCGCGGGGTGCTACACACACACACACACACTGTTTGGCGTATGGGCCCCGCGCGCGGCGACGGGGCGGAGAAAGTCGAGTGCAAGCAGCATGATGCGCGCGTCTACGCCAGGCCCACACACACACACACACGTCCCGCAAATCCCTTGCTGTCCTGGAAGCCCCAGGTGTTCCCATAGAGAGAGACGCCGCCGCAGCGCGGCCAGGAGGGTTAAGAAGGTCTCGAAGACGGCGCCAGGAGGCTACGAACAGGGCCGGAAGAGCCCAACACGGCGGAGAATGGACTCAAGATGCTTCCAAATTGCTTCCAGAAGGCCAAAGAGGCTCCAGAGACGCCTCAAGGGGTACCCAAGAGGACCCCCGAAAAAGCCAAAACCATGGAATCCCCTTTGGCGATTGAAACATTAGTGCGTTCTCGCCTTTTCGAGCCTCTGGCAGTCCAAGACGTCCCAAAATGCCTCCAAGATGGTCCAAAGACCGCCCAAGAGGCCCCCAAGAGAGCCCCAAGAACACCCAATAATGGCCGAATAGGCCCCTAAGCCAGCTCCACGACTGCCCCAAGCGAATCCCAAGATGATCCCAAAAGACCGTCAAGACTGCCAGAAGGGATCCAAGACGGCACAAGGGGGCCCCAAGACGGCCAAAGAGGGACCCAAGACAGCAAGGGCCCCAAGAACCCCTAAGAGGTCCCAAAGAGGCTCCGAAAAGGCCTGCGGACCCCTTGTGGCATGCAGCAGCCTCGGGGGATAGCAGTGGAGCCCTCATGACTCTGCTCCTCCGCGGAAGCAGAAGGGCAGTGCATCACGACAGTCATTTCGAGCCCGCCCTCAGAGAAAACGTCCTGCTGTGGCGCCGGCCTCCCCCACGCCGCCCGCGGCCGCCTCCCGCGGGCCGCCCGCCGAGGCGAACGCAGCGCCTCCCGCGGCGGCGGCGGCCGCCTTGGAGCACCTCTCCGACTCCAGACTGGCCGCCCTCTCCGCGGCGGCTGCGGCAGGGGCCCTCTCCGACTCCAGCACGACCGCCTCGTCCGGGCTACCCGCCGCGGCGCCCGCGGCGCCGCCCGCGGCGGACTCCAGAATGGCCGCCTCCTCCGCGGCGGCTGCGGCAGAGGCCCTCTCCAACTCCAGCGCGGCGGCCTCCGCCGCCTCGACCGCGGCCCCCGCGGCGACGCCCGCGGCCGCGGGCGTCACGGCGGAGGCCCTCTCCTCCAGTAAGGCCGCCGCCTCCGCGATGAGCCGCCGCAGCTGGGCGTTACTGAGGGCCTCCAGGGCGCCGCGTTCCATCGCAGCAGGTCCGCGCCGGTGGCGCCCTCATCGAGGGCGCTCTCTGGCGACGGGGGGGGGCCACTGGCCAGCTGGAGCAAGAGCAACGGCTGCAGAGGACATCTGTGGGAGGTGGGAGGGAGGGAGGGAGGGAGGGAGGGAGGGAGGAGGAGGAGGAGGAGGAGGAAGAGGAGCAGGAGGAGGAGGAGGAGACGAGCGTACGCAGGAGGTCTGGTTCCCACGACTGGGGCACGCACGGCGGCGGTGGCGCGCCTGAAGCACCCGAAAAGCACGCCGAGGAGGACGGCCGCGACGTGCCGCGGCGGGAAGGCCCCGCAGGCGGAAGGGCCGCAAGGGCCGAAAAATCGGTCGCACGATCAATCGACGAGCGAACGAGCGGCACCACGGGTTACGGGGGGGACGAACGGTGGGGGACGCGACAGGGGAGAGACGACGGAGGGGAGCAGAGGGGCGCACGGGCGAATGAGCGCAGCGACGGAGCAGAAGGGGTGGCGAGGCAGGGAGCGCGCGGTGGCGATGTCTCAGCGCTCTCAGCGCATGCTGTCGAAGAGGAAATAGAGTACGAGGCCAAAGGACACGAGTAACAATCCAGCTCGTCATCACAATCCGCCACGAGGTGATGCATGGACCGTCAAGGCCAGCTCGGTAGGTGGCGTGGCTGAGGACGGCGACGAAGACGAGACCACAGTTGTAAGACGGGGCCCGCGATGCAGCGCAACCTCAGCATCATCGTCGGAGCAGAAAGAGGGGGGAATCCATCCTGGAAGCACTCGAAACGACAGGGGTGAGCTTAGGCGACGTAGTCCCCGTGGAAGACGTCGAGAAAGGGCGGGAACGAGCGGCGGGCCTCGGGCGAAGGGCACGACGCTTCTCCATAGTACATCGAGCAGGCCGAGCTAAGCTCACTGATCGAGCACCAGCAAATGCACATGTACAAGCCTGGCTAAAACTGAGGGGCCAATCACTGATCGTCTTAGCCGTGCTGTACGTCGCGCACGACGCCGCCAGGAAGCCGTAGGCCGGCAAAGAGGGCCGGGCAAGCCCCTAGCGAGCCAGGACGGGAAGTGGAAATGGGCGTGCCAAAGCAGACCGAAGAGCCACGTGCAAAGGACGGCAACGGCAGTAGTGGCGTAGCGAGTCCAGGCTGTCGCCACAGCCGAACGCGCAGCACAGCAGACCCAACGGATAAGCAACCCTCGCCGACGTCATCCACCCGCCAATCCACATGTGCAACATCGCCCACGCCCAGGCTCACAGACACCGCGCCAGCTTCGATCCGACATCGTGCCATACAATCTGCGAAATAGCCTAACCGTGCCGAGGAAGAAGATTCGATGACCGCATAGCAAGGAGCCACTAGAAAGGTGCCGCTTGACGTACCTGAAGCAGGAGAGAACGATGCGCAGCACGCTGAGGACGGGGGCGCCGATCAGGGGCAGCGGCCAGCTCCTCGCGGAAGGCCTCCACAGCGGTCGGTCCAGAACCACCTCCAGTCGAAGCAGCGGCGAGAGACAGCGTCTCCGCGAAAGACTCGGATTGCCAAAACCCAGTGTATAAAGCACGCGTCCCAAGCATCTCAAGAGTGCGCCACTCACGATGGGCGGCGACAAAGTCACGCGGGCGGCCAAGGACCGCAGTGCGCCCGGGGAAAGTGACAATCGCCGACCGCGCCAGGGTCGCAGTGCACAAGAGGTCTCATCTCACCGCGCGAGTGCCGTCCCAGAGCCATAGCTGGGACCAGGCAGCTAACGAGAAGGCACCAAGGGCAATGCGAAATACTCGGGCGAGGACAGGCAACTCCGGACGGCGCATTTCGGGAGGCAGCTGCTTGAACTGGGCGACATACGAGAGCGCGGTCACAACGCGTGCGCAGCAGAGCCGAGCAGAGACGCTATGGGGGCGCCAGGCCAGCGTCAATGGCTCGAGCCCGAAGACGGAGCTCGGCCATAGAACCCACCCAACACCGCGTCGGCGAGGCCCCAGGACGCATCCAGATACCCAAGCAAAGAAGCTCGGCAACCACCCCAAACGAAGCCCATTCGGGAACGAGGCGAGCGATCTCCGCAGCTGCACGGGTAGCCAACGAGGTACTTACAGAAGGGTCCAGACAGGGGAAGCACCAGACAGTTGGACGCCTTGAGCAAGAGGTTGGCTAAGAGGGCCGCAAGACGCATCACGCGGGCCAGTGGCACAAGATCGTCGATGCTCGAGATGGCGCCGCCGACGTCGTCAGCGTGCACCCTGATGAGGCCGCGCTGGGCCTGCTCAATGCCCTCCGAGAGATCACACAGGAAGACCGCAGACGCGATGGCGCACAAGAACCCGGAGAGGCCACACCCCTGGATGATGTCTCTGCGAACCTAGAAGATCCGAATGAACTCGCCAGCAGAGGAGGCCACGCCCTCAATGGCAACGCAGAGGAAGCCCACAAACATCTGGAACTCCAGGGACACCCCCAGCACCGCCAAGACAAGCAATACAAACTCTTGATTCAGATACGGGAAGGCTTGGCCGAGGTCCAGCGAGAACAGGGGGGATGTCCCGAGGGAGCGGCGGCGTCAGCGACAGCTTTCTAGCGCGCGCACCCAACTCCAAAATGTTGAGACCGAAATTACACGATGGCACAAATCCCCAGTGACTGGGCGGCGCCACTGTCCGCAGGACAGGCACGCTCGCACGATTCATCATCGATGAGAGAACCTTGCCGTCCGCGTCGCGCAACCCGAGTACGCAAACCTTGTCGGCAGGACGAGTGCACTCTCCTCGAGAAAGCCCCCTATCGGACACCGCCTTCGGGAGAAGGCCTGCAAGGTCACCGACGCGTCGCCAAAGAGAGCCTGCCCCGAGCGGGCCCAGCCCAGCACGCTCATCAGGACACTCCCCCCAAACCTATCCACAGACCAGGCCGCATAAGGAAGGCCATCAACCCCAAGAGCAGAATCCCTCGCCCCCACCAGGGAGCGCCGCAGAACGCGTAGGAAGGATGGAGGAAGATGCAGGTAATCGGCAGCCATTTAGGAACATACTGGGCAGCAAGATCACGATCCCATGGCTCGCGTTCGATGACAGAGCGTCAGCAGTGATACAAGGCAGCCGCGATACTATCGCAAGCACCCCGACAGGGGGACATGGAGATACGCTTCCCCATCGGAGAGCACAACTGAGCATTTCTGCCGAGAGCGCGAAGTTGGGCTTCGAAATGAGATGCGGCCCCTGTCTGCGACTGGCGAAACTCCAGCTCCGACTTCTGGGCCAGAAGAGCCCCCCTGGACCTTGCAGACCCACTGCTCGAAAGATGGCGGGTGCTTCAGGTGGACCTCGGACCCGGAGAGCTCCAAGAAGTCAGAAACCACGGGGTGGGACTCGAGCACACGTCTAGCGAGCCTCACATCCTGCCTCCTAATCGCACGGGCCAACATACGGGCCACCTGCAACAACGTCCAGGTGTGGCAGGGTTTGCTTCTGAACAAATTGTGCCTGGTCTCCGCCCCCCCGATTCTCAGCAGCTCTCTACGCCGCTCAAGACGTAGAGGGGACACGCTGGGCCAATCCAACCCACGAAGGCAGGCTCGCAAGAGGGGATCCCGACATGTGCCTTTCGGAACGAGACGCTGGGTAGGAGGGCGTGGAGCGCGAGGAGCAAGAGAGACGACGACGGCAACGCGATCCGAGATTTCGCGTCGGACACCTCGGCGGCCGCCCCGCCCCGTCGCCGAGAAGATCTGCAGCTGACAGACGTGCCAGCTCATGAGGGAGACGTAGACAGTGACAATGATGTTCGCGCGGTCGCTGGCGCGCTCGTCGTGAGTCGGCTCGCTGCCCTCAATCTCGATAAGACTGCGGAGCACCTGCTTCCATAGAGCTTCTCGACCGTGGTGGTGGCGCGTGGCCCGAGAGATAGCCGCAGTCGGAGACGCCAGGAAGAGAGACTCGCCGCTGGAGTAGTTCAAGACCCGCTCACGACGACCAGACGCTCAGAAGGCGACGCAGGGGCGGCAGCGACCTCCTCGGCGATGGCCGAGGTGGCACACGCGACCGCGCGCTCGGCAAGACCATGGCTGTGAACGGTCACAGAGAGACAGCGGGCCCACAGACACACGAACAAGGAGAACACGACCAGGTATCGCAGATCGTCTTGGCAGGATGGGGCCTCCACCCGGCCTCCGAAGATCCCTCCTCTGGGGTGCCTCCCGAGGCCTCTGGACCTCCAGAGGCCTCCGGAGACTCCTGGAGGCCTCCAGAGAAGATCCAGACCTCCAACGTCTGGGCCTGTCGCCGATCTTGGCCTCCTCGGCCCGCCCTTGGACTCCAGGGCCATCAAGATAGGATCGGGAGCAGCAAAAGCATCAAAACGATCCCTGGAAAGGGGTCGCGACGACCTGGCAAGTGGGGTCCGAGCAGACAGGGGTCGGAGGAAGGCACAGCGTCGCCGATGCATCAGCGATGCATCGGCGACGTCGGCGATGCATCGACGCCGACGGAGTGGGGAAAATCGGGCTCCACATCGAGCAGCATCGCAGATGCATCGGCGATGCGGCGCGATCCTCCCATACCATCTGCTCTGGCCCCATTTTGGAGGCCTGGAGGTTTAGAGGCCTGGCCTGGGGGGGATGATCAAGGCTTTTCCTGTTCAGCGCAACCCCGCCAACAGCTGCCACGCCAACGGTGAGCCGCCAAAGTACAGTGGTCACTCGAAGCGGCCAGGCTAAATATACCATCGACTGTCGCTGGCGAAACGCTGCCAAGCGCAGGCGCAGAGACAACGAGAAAGGTTCTTGGACGCCCTTGGCAATCCTTGCGTGCAGTTCCGAAGCCTTCAGAAGTCTCCAGGAGCCCCCAGGGGCGTGGCTGGGCCTACCGGGGCCTCCAGAAGGGGGAGTAGAGGCCGGAGGAAGACGAGGCAAGAGCGGGAGGACGGGGTGGAAGAAGGCGGGGGAAGAGGACGAGGGCAAGGGAAGGAAGACAGGGAGGAAGGACATGAAGAAGAATGAGAAGAAGAAGATGATGAAGGAACAGAACAATAAGACGGGAGGTAGCAAGAAGGAGAACAAGAAGAAGAGGAAGGCGAGGACTAGGACGAGGCGGAAGATG